GGGCTTTTTCTTTCCGTTAAGCTGAGGGATTGCGTGCCTTCAGCAGTCACAAGCAAAGGATAATGACCGGGCACATGAGGCCAGTCATCACAGTATCCATATTTGTGTAGCAGTGGCTGCAAACCTCGTGTAAAACAGCCATATCAGAAGGCCATTTGTTTCTTACCTAAAGGCCAGGGCCATTATTTTGTTTTGTAAGTGGCCCTTGGACGGCTCCCATTTTATGCACGTTGAACGGCTACCTCGGAGGGCTGCTTGCTCCTAATCAGCTTGAAAGTATCTCTCCACTCTTCTAGGAGTCAATGTCTGCACGAATGTTTGAGCTGATACCCGATCTGTCAGCGCCATCGAACACTTGGCGCAATTGGAGCTTAAGAAATGCATTGCCGACATATTATTGGCTGCAGATATCTTGCCTGAAATTGCTACTCTCATAGGTCTATGTGTGAGTGGAGCCATAATGCTACAAGGAATGGTCCCCCATGCAACCGGATATGTGGGATTTATTCTATATAGAGTAGGTAGGCCGTCTGGCCGGCTTTAACTCACATGAAATATTTTTGTGTGAAGAGGGTCTCAATATATCAAGGCAAATGTTATTGTAGTGACTAGAATGCCCACGTGTAGCTATGTTGCTTGTGTGTTAGATTAGTTCAGAGGTATTTGGCCTAAATTTGCAAGGTTTCTCTGAATGGTCGTATTTTTGGGCTAGCTATTTTGGGCTCTCTTAAAAGTGAAATGTGGTTAAGAGTGTTTGTTCGTGGCAAACAGGATGTAGGAAGTTCCCTTGGGAAGATTGGATCTGTTTTATAGAAGTGAGATGATGTCCCTTGCCTCTGGCCATTGCACTTACTGACCAAAGCTGTCTGGAGAGAAAGTCATCCATTTATGGCCCCAGAATTTGAAGAAGTCTATTTGGTAGGTTACTATGGTTGTTAAATATTGCATAGTGGGTTAGTGTCACGGTGAGCTTGATTTCCTGTTTTAAACGGGAAGAGGAGGGTTGAAGAAGCGGCGTTCCTGCAAATATTCAAAACTCATCAGTTTGTGCTGATGGACATGTCCAATCTGGCAGTGTGCATACATAAGTGATAGCTGGTGGCCGCTGAGATGATGGCAGAGCCTAATGTTGGTATAGGAACTTACATGTTTTGTAGGGGAGTGGTTGTAGCCCGTACACCATGGCTTCTGTACATGCCGTAGAAGTACATTATTGCTTGCCTCAGCCAAAGCTTGTGATGTCAGTCATTGGCTGATTACCATGTGTTCTCCCAGCCCCTCCCCCTCCCCCTGCGGTCTGGGTTGTGCTTCATGTTGCACTATCTAGTTTGAAATGAGAAAAAGAAATTACTTCCAAGGGTTTGTTTCTGTCAGTTGCCGGCCTGCTGTTGTATATCCATGTTTTTCTACTCAAGAAATAGGCCATCTTGCCCCGGGTCATGTCGGTGTTTAATAGTTAGGTAATGCCTTCAAGGAATGCGTCATCTTAGAGAGCGCTGTCAAGACTGATCCGTGGAGACCTTGCCGCGTTTTTTATTCCTCCATGACTGGAATCATCTGGGCCAATGCTCGACCTCTTTTAAACCAAGCCATCTGCCGGGAGAGGGTAAAAAGATTTGAGTCTTTATCTTCTGGTTTGACTTTCATGGATCAGCCCCCTAAGACGATTGAAGGGAAGATGGGTTGTTCTGTTGCTCATAATTGAAAGTGTGCTACTAATAGTGAAGTATGGGTCCCTATGTGAGCAAGAGAGAGCATGTCTTTACACACGTAGTACCAATATCCTGTTGGACTGACATATTACATGTGTATTCATGTTTCACTGTGCCATGGAGGAACTAGAGGGGTTGTCTTTTTACATGGAAATGATGGTCCTTTGATGGGAACTACCATGTGTGCGTGCAGATGTACATGTATGTGCTGAGCACATGCGACCGATTTATATCAAAGCGGACGGTCTCTGCATACATGTATATGCCGGGTGCGCGCACACGCGTACGGTTGAAATACTTCCCACCAGCCTACCTCATCTTTGCTGGTGGTGATTTTCTCTCAAGTTATTTAGCATAATTTCCCTCTCAATTCCATAACTCTTATATACTTTATTTTCTATTTTATTGTGCACATTATAGCCTTGTATAAATTACTTCCGTCCGTCATTTTCCGTCTGTCATCTTTTCGTTTCTTGTCTGTTTGTTAGCCCTGCGATATGTTGTCTGGTTGTCTGTCTGTTTTCAAGGCATTTTAGTATGTTCCATTGGCGTTTGATTATACCTAGATAGTGCAAATGTCATCCAAGTTACTACTCTCCGTATTGTTTTCTTTATCCATGATTAATTGTAAACACGCATTCAATTTGAATAAATGTCGATTGAATTGAATTTGAATTGAGGGAGCACTTCAGCTCGGGGCGGATAAGGGATATTTCCCTGTCCTCAGGGCTTGGTCTAATGCCCTCGGCGGTAAATGCCTGTACTCAGTCCACGGGAGAGTGTTACAGTGGGAAGTGCATTGGGAATACAGTGCCCTTCCCTGAGTGGTAAAATATATAGCAATTAAAGTGCGACCGTGTGAAGAAATGTGGACACAGAACAAATTGTCATTGGAATACATGGTTTGCATACTAGCAAGAGCTCCTTGTTCATTTCTCCAATATAAGTTTTGATGTACAAGTTATGGTTCACGTGCTGTCGTTTCCTGATTTCTTGTTGTCATTTGTTATGATTTTTTTTTAGTGTCTTAAATTAATGCGACTTTTCATGTTGATGACCTAAGTGTCAAGGTCAGCTCAAAGTTGAAAACATCCTCCGAAAGGGTGTGCTTCTTGTAACTTTGTAAGAGAGGAATGTTCCATTTCTTCATAAGGTAGAATTTGAAGACATGTTTGCACAAAAGGTCATTTCATTATCCTGTGAAACTGGGTAAAACGCATGCATACATATGTACCATGCCAGTTGTACACGATTCCCATAGCAAGCAAAAATCTTTACCAGGATGCGTTGAAAACTTCATGCCAAACAAATGCCAGTCATTTTGCATAAATTAAAGTTCCAGATACAGTGAGACAGTCAAGACGTCAGGTGCCTCAGTTACGCTTTGTTTGTGCATAATTTAAAGTAGAGTTAATCGTGAGATCTAAATTTTAAAGTTTGGATGATGATTATAAAAATCGTGTCACATTGAAGTCACTCCCACAACTGTGTGTCAGGATCGTGCTGCACATGTTGAATAGAGGTCATCTTTTTCCTATGTTTACTGATGTCAAGGCAGCAAACATTGCATTTAGAGTTGGGTTTGAAATGGCTTCCAATCAACCATTGTACCTCTTGGAATGTTTTTCAGGTCTTTTGTACAAATGTACATGACCTCGGCAAGCCATATTCCCCTTGAACTATTGTACAGCCTTTACATGGTAACTGATGTCACAGGCATGCTGGGCAGGAACCATTCCGTCAAGGCCAGTTTGAAAATGTCAACATTTTTGTCTGTGTTACCAAGACCCGCGGGCATGACTGAGTGAGCGATGTGGCCTATATGTGTGACAGAAGCTCCAGATCGTGGGTAAAGTAGGGTGATGAATCTCGACTCTATCCCCGACATGTGACATGCCCGAGCTGTGATGAAAAATGTTCTTCTAATCGTTTGGTACAACTGTGTCTATTTGTGTTGTGTCGGCTGGGATTACAAGAAAAACCATCCTTAGATCCTTAGATCGTCTTGATGTATAGTTAATAATGGTAAGGAACACAATTACCCCCCAAAAATGTCATGCCTTTCACGTGTTGAACTGAAAAATAAGGCCCTCGAAAAATCTGCTCTCATTGAAGTCATTTGAACAATGTTAAAGGTTGGCACAGCTACTAGAGGGTAAAAGTTTGATTTTGAAATTTCCATGAGTTTGTGTCTTTTCTAGTTTGTGGTATTTTTAGAATTTGTTGTATCAAATCAAAAATTGGTTTTGATTTTCTCAAATAATGTCAAGTAATGGCTAACATTCCTTTTTGGGGGATAGGGTTGGGCTCAGCACAGGTGGATAAATAAAAGTGATTTATGTGGGAAATGTTAAGAAGGCTCTTGTCAAAATAAACTTGTCGAAAGTTCTGCCTTGTATGTGACTGCAAAAGACCCACCAATATATCTGTAGCCCCCACGGATTCAGATCTAGGGATATTTTTTTGGGCCTCCCAAATTGGGCCAGTGATGCAGCGAACTGTCCCATGATTCAGCTGTTAGAATTGGTTGGGCCTCGTGGGATCATCACATGGGCAGTTGGTGTGTCAAACACGGTGGTAGTTGATGGAACGGCTTCTTAAGGATGTTTGAAGAAAGATAGGTTCATCGTTATCAGTCGGCCCTCAGCCAGGGTTGACCAAATTGCAAACGTTGAAATACATGTAGATTTAAATCGATGACACGTTGTTGCCCCCCGCCAAAAAATCGTTGAAGTTTTCCATTGTTGACAACTTGCACTGGTATGCTGTTTTGAAAGCTTGACAGTCAGCCCTCTTTCACTGTGTGATCAAATTTGAACAGGAAAAATGGAGGTGTGTACGTAAATGGTTGTAAGGAGCAGCTAGTCAAGTACGAAGTTGTTTTTCCTTCTTTATCAAAGCCACAATGATTCCTTTGTTCATTTGATTGCTTACTGTAATGATTATTTTTTTTCTTTGAGATCAATCATAAACCACTGTATGAAAAAGAATGCTTTCCTTCGGAAGGCACTAGAGCATGTGCCCAAAAAATTCTCGTGGGGGGAAAAAATGAAGGTCCGTGTACAAAGCTGTTTGACGGTAGCAGGGCAAACACAAAGACAAACATACTTGCTGCCGCTGGAAATAACATGACATTCAGGTGGCAGGCCAATATTTTGATACACTTTGCATATGAAAACAAATCATCCACTCAGTTAATCAGTGTCGATGCCAAAAGGGACAATTGATGGATCAAGGTATCTGCCCGACAGCATTCTTTACCCATGTTCCTTCTTTCGGTTTCTCTAGAAAGAAAGCTGATAATGGTACTATGTCTCAGACCCTGTCTTCTCCCATCAACCGAGCCTCCTCCTTGAAGCAGACGGTCAAGAACCATCGCATCTTCCGCCCCTCGGACCTCATCAAAGGAGAGGTGTTAGGCTCTGGTTTCTTTGGACAGGCTATCAAGGTGAAAATAGGCTCCTTGAAAGGGTGTTCAAGCTTGAAGGAAATGTGTGTTTTTCACCATAACCCTTCATGTCTGTTGTGATGATGACAAGAAATTCTACATAGCATCAACAAGATACACATATATGCATTTGAAAACGGATTCCTGAACATTTAGTTATTCATTGTTTGTGTGCATTGTACACAGCTCTTTATCCTGATGAATGTGGACATTACATTTGAGAAATGTTGGAAGTTTCCATTGGATTTGATTGTGCCAAATTTTTGATAGGGCCCATAGAAGTAGGTCTTGTTGATGGAGGACAAATTTCTAAGTAGACCTTATTAAGAGGGAAGCCATGTTTTACCATGGTACCTGAATCTATTATATGCAATGTAATCTTGTAAATGGGGTGGTGCAAGACTATTTGGGGTTCCCATCCTTGCTTTCATTTTTTTTTTTTTAAATGTAACTGAAAACATCACAAAGTTTGATTTTAAATTGTTCAAAATGTAAAACTGTCATGAGTTTGTAATGAACTGTTATTTCATTGCTAGTTTTACGCTCAGGTCCCGAGAATGAAACGTTAACCTCACTTGTCAATTCAAGATGACAGACACATGAATATGGTCTATTGCTTTTGCTGACTGGTTGAAACATTGCGAGAATGTTCCATTGATTTCCACATGATTGATTTTTTCCTGTCCAGGTAACCCACAGACAAACAGGTGAAGTGATGGTGGTCAAGGAGCTGATCAGATTTGAAGATGAAGCACAGAGGAATTTCCTGAAAGAGGTAAGAGTTTATCACCTTTACACTTACGAGAAGGGAGGGGAAAAACCATTTGAAAAACTGCTTTCTGACATCAGATGAAGTTATTCATAACTGTCATCATATTTTCATTTGCTGCAGGTGAAAGTTCTTCGTAGCCTGGACCACGTCCATGTGCTGAAATTCATAGGTGTGCTGTACAAGGACAAGAAGTTGAGTCTTGTTACAGGTTAGTTTCTTTGACAATTGGTTTCCTCATCATTTACCTTCTTGACAATCAAGCAGAGCTTTTGTAGTCCATGCATAATTGGAGTTGACAGTTGGCCTGTTAGACTTGATTCACACTGTGTACCTTGTTTAAGGCTTGCTTGGGTACTTAATGAAAAGTTGTTGCAGCTCCAAGAACGATACTTGCATTTTTCTACAAATTGGTGGATATCGTTAACATGTTAAAACTAATTTTTTTTTCTACAGAATTCATAGATGGAGGGACGTTAAGGGAAGTTATCCAGAATATGGTGAGCATTTTCAGTTGTTTTTTTTTTCAGTAGCTAGCTAGTTACTAGAAGGATTCAAAAGGAACAATGTTGATTGCTGAGTTTGTGTGCATTTACAAAAAGGAAAACATTCTCTGTTTTGGTGTACCGCTCTGATCATTGACTGTTTCTCTGGAAGAAGTGTAAGTCTGGTACTGAGGACAAGCTTTTTCATTATTTTAACCCTTTCTTAAGATCGGACAATAAATATAGTTTGACACATCAGGCATCTTGTTTTTAGCAGATCCCTTGTAACCTTAGCAACTACGTTCGGCAGGGAATTGATTCTGTTTTCTGCATGTGATGTAAATCAGTCATTACTTTATGATAGATAATATCTTTGAAGTAATTTTTTACTTTACTTTGTATCTCTTGGTTGAAATTTTTCTTCAAAACAATTTGATCCACTTTTTATTTTTAGGGTCCAGACTACTCTTGGCTACACAGAGTCAACATCCTACGCGACATCTCTTTTGGAATGGTTAGTGTACTCTGATGTCCCTCCGTGCTGGTTCAATCCACTTCCATACCCAGAACAAATTTCAAAAACTTAGTCTACGTATTCTTAGAATCGTTGAAGAAAGGATGAGACAAAAGAAAGGTTCGGGAAACCGCAGAGGGAAACCTGGAGTACTTGAGGATGACTTGAGGATGACTTGAGGATGACTTATCACCATAGCAACGTAGCTGGCCACTTTAAACTACATTGTGCATACAATCAGAGTTATCTATAAGTTATCAGTCTACAATTGTAATGGCCCTATGGAGATAAACATTCCTTTTGAATTTTGGCAACATGTGAATGTGTATGTTAATTCAGATATTTGAAAACCCTTCTACATCTGGAGACTACAGAATTTCGCACGTATTTGGTTTTGTTTAATCAGTTTTTTTCAAGTAACTTCATGCCGAAGAAAACAGAGACAACTTACCATTAACCCTCCTTTGGTTTTACAGCACAAATGTGCACAAATGCCCACAGTCACTGGTGAGCGTG